GATACATATTAGTAAACATAGTTTGCGACTACTAATTTGCTAGGGAGGAAAGGATTTCAAAATGCTTATGCCAATGAGTGGTGTCTGTCACACTATGGGCAATGTTGGTAGGTCTTCTCAAACAGCTATCTGATGAAGGATTGACCTGGCGAATATTGAAGACTATGCCAGGGGGATCAAAAAACAGGTCGTTACCAACGAAAGAAAAGCCATCTCTGACAGCCAGGTAACACTAAAGCCAACTACCTCATCGATAAAAAAATCCAGGGCGTTTGGGTAGCATGAACGTCTCGAATAACAATTAATTAAGATTTTTAGTTGAGATAAAAAAAGGTCTTACTCTACCACTTGAGCTGTCGTGACTTCGATCCTCTCGGCACTAACTTCCCATCTCAACCTCACAAGTGGTAGAGTAGCAGCGTATCTAGCCGAAGATCGTGGGTTCGAATCCCGCTCGTGCCACTGACTTTTTTATCTCAACTAAAAACATTAATTAATTGAATGATATTAATTGGTCAAGCGGACCACGAAAAATAGTGAAGTCCAGAATAACTAGGAAAAACCACACAAGCACACTTTTTTTGGACCAGGGCAGAGGAGCGACTAGGTCATTTGTTGGACTGAACTATTTTGTGGCATGCCAAATTTCCAAAATCGTAGATCTATTTATGGGTTAATACTAAGTCCTCCGTTCAAGTGCGGAATTGCTTATTATGGCAGTTTGAGAAACTAACGACAGAACTACTAAACTTAGGACGCGTTAGGATTAGAATGACAGTAGGACACTGCAGAATGAAGAACCGTCAAAACTCAAAATTGTATAATGCTTAAAAACCTTGTAGGTCTTGTCAAAGAGGAAAAGCTCAATCCAGGAAATAAAGCTAAGAGTTACTATCAAGTCTATAAATACCGACAAACAGCCTGAACCTAGGTAGCGAAGCACAGGAAGATTTTTTAACTTCGACGAGAGACTAGCACTATTTGAAAAATTCTACTCTTATCTAGCTGAAAAATGTGTTAGAAATTTTGTAGATTTCCAAAATAATAATCAATATATATTTGATCATAAATTCATGCTGAATAATAAATGGGAGAATTCGTCATAATTATTTCTAAAAAAAAAAAACAGAGTTGAAGAAAATTAGTTCGCCTATATTTGAAAAAAAAATCAGTATCAACAAAGGTTATCGCTGCACAATCAATTATTTTTACGCGTTTATATTGCGTTTTCCAAGCATACAAACGGTTCTCGACTACGCTCAATACTTAAGAGGAGGCTTTAAAATGCTTCAAAATGCACATAAGTTTAAATATAATAAGTTGGAAAAGCTGAAAATTTCACTTAAACCACATAGAATAAAAAAAAACTAATTCTGACGCATCGATAACCTGCTTAGGTTAAACCACAATTTTGTTTACAAACAAAACAGAGAACGAATTATGCGAATTATTCGAAAGCAGTTAAAATTCGCATAATTTGACCTATAATTAATTTATTCAGGCGGTTTGAAAAATAAATCATACGAAATATACGAACAAAACTTAGTATTTCTAAGTAAGTTATCGCTGCTTTAAAAATGCCTTTATATTTATCGAGAAGGAGGCTTGAATTGCTTCAAAATGCGTATAGACAATTGGAAAAGCTTAAAAATTTACCTAAACTTTATTTTGGACGTATGAAAATGAAAATATGCCTGATATTGAGGATTTGTTAAAAGACGTTTTCGCTCCGTCAAAACCATCACTTTTTATTTATCTATCTAGTATTGGCAAAACATTTAAAATTAAAGTTATTTTGTTTATTTTTATTGCGATTGTCATACTAAAAAAAATATTTGTCATTGTAAATATTTATTTTAAAAGTTATTCAGAAATCGTGAGATGCGGTCTGGTGTGATGTAGGTTTCAGAAAAAAAATTTCTTTATCGAGCCAACGTTTCGATCTTTATTGAGATCATCTTCAGGGCTCAAAGTGTTTGTCTTCTATGTAATTGTGCCATTCTTGCGTGTCGTGTTGAGGGTGCCCCGTGTTTATTTTAAAAATCAAATAATGTATGAACGTTTACCTAAAATTATACTTTTTTATTTATAAACTCTATAACAGTATGTTTTGCATTGATTAAAATTTCTGTCTATTATTAAAATTATATTGTCTTTTAATAGAACGATATATGTTACTGTGAAGATTTGCAAGCAAAATCAGTATAATTAAGGAGGTTTCACTACGTCAAAACAGAAAACGAAATAAAAGGTATGGTTGAGATTTTTTCTAAAAATTAGTTCACCTAAGCATGTTATCGCTGCATTAAATTCATACTTTTTCAACTCTACGTTTTAAATCGACTGAAATTACCCTAGTTTGGTCCATTTTTAAATTTATTTATAAATAGTTTGAAGATTTGATAAAAAGAAATCAATATATATAAGCACGCTATCGCTGCTTATATATATTGACAGCAGTTAAAATTGACATAATTTGGTCGATAATTAATTTTATTCATGCGGTTTGATTAAGAAAATATATGAAAATATTTATAAAAAAATTACTTCTACTAAGCGTGTTATCGCTGCGTTAAAATGCCAACTTTATATTTATAAAAATTAGGTAATTAGATATGTTACGAAACAATAAATATTTCGACGATTTTGGAAATAATTTATTTTATTTTGGCTGTTTGAATATGGCAAATCATGTACTTTGTAAAAATTTTAAGATATGTTACGAAACAATTAAAATTTCGGCAATTTTGGATATAATTTATTTTACTTTGGTCGTTTTAATATAATAAATCTTGTACTTTGTGAGTGTTTTAAGATATGTGACGAAACAATTAAAACTTCGGCAAATTTGGATATAATTAATTTTATTTTGGTTGTTTTAGTATGATAAATCGTTTATTTTATATTTTCAGATATGTTCGAAACAAAATTTCGGCAATTTTGGATATTAATTATTTTATTTTGGTTGTTTTAAAATGATAAATCATGTGCTTTGTAAATATTTTAAGATATGTTATTTAAAAATGTTGTTAATTCAAATTTCGGTAATTTTGGATATAATTTATTTTATTTTTGCTGTTTTGATATGATATATCGTGCACTCAGTAAATATTTTAAGGATATTTTACTTAAAATTGTTTTTAATTAAAATTTCGGATGTTAATGATTTTATTTTGGTTGTTTTGATATGATAAATCGTGTACTTTGTAAAAATTTTAAGATATGTTACGAAATAATTAAAATTTCGGAAATTTTGAATATAAATGATTTTATTTTGGTTGTTTTAGTATGATCGATCATGTACTTAGTAAATATTTTAAGGTATGTTACTTAAAATTGTTGTTAATTAAAACCTCGGCAATTTTGGATATAATAAATTTTGTTTTGGCTGTTTTACTATGATAACTCTTGAACTTAATAAAGATTTTAAGCAACGTTACTTAAAATTGTTGATAATTAAAATTTCGGCAATTTCCGATGTTAATGATTTGATTTTGGTTGTTTTAAAACTATAAATCACGTACTTACTAAATATTTTAAGATATTTTACGAAAAAATTAAAATTTCGGCAATTTTGGATATAATTTATTTTATTTTGGCTGTTTTATTATGATAAAACATGTACTTAGCAAATATTTTTAGATATGTTACTTAAAATTGGTGATAATGAAAATTTCTACAATTTTGGATATTAATGATTTTATTAGGGGGGTCGGTGGCCGCAACGGTTTAGGCGTTGACCGGCGTTCATCACTGTAAGGTAAAGGTCCCGGGTTCGAATCCAGCGGCCCTGCTTTCGAACCCGACATACTTACAAATGGGCTTTTTTTCAAAAGCACCGGCACCCCGAGGGTTGATATAACCTCTGCTGTTGCGAACCCTCGTAAAATAAAAATAAAAAAAAATAAAAAAAATAAAATGATTTTATTTTGGCTGTTGTAATATGATAAATGTAATGTAATAAATACAAAGTACATACTTTGTAAATATTTCCAGATATGTTTGAAACAAATAAAATTTCGGCAATTTTGGATATAATTTATTTTATTTTGGCTGTTTTATTATGATAAATCCTGTACATTGAAAATGTTTTCAGATATGTTACGAAACAATTAAAATTTCGGCAATTTTGGATACAATTTATTTTATTTTGGCTTTTTTAATATGATAAAACATGTACTTAGCAAATATTTTAAGATATGTTACTTAAAATTGGTGATAATGAAAATTTCTACAATTTTGGATATTAATGATTTTATTTTGGCTGTTGTAATATGATAAATCATGTACTTTGTAAATATTTCCAGATATGTTCGAAACAAATAAAATTTCGGCAATTTTGGCTGTTGTAATATGATAAATCATGTACTTTGTAAATATTTCCAGATATGTTTGAAACAAATAAAATTTCGGCAATTTTGGATATAATTTATTTTATTTTGGCTGTTTTAATGTCATTGCTTTAATGGACATCATGTACTTAGTAAATATCAATTAAAGTAATATTAATCCACCTAAACAGTTTATCGCTGCTTTAAAATCATACTGTTAGATGTCCACATATTTTTTCCAATACAACACCAACGTATATTTTGTATTGTAAAAAAGCTCAAGTAATTTCCTTATGTTTAACTCATTTGTAACCAAACTGTAGAAAATTTGTATTAAATAATTTTCCCCCACTAAAAAGCATTTTCCAAATACATTCGACTTAACTCGTAGGCCAGTATTTAAAACTATTTGCATTGCGTAATTAGTTTTAAGACTTGCATATCAAAAACTTTCTCCGGAATAAAGGGAGATTTGTGAAAGCATTCTTTATTTCTCTGTTGTTTTCTAGATAAACCTGATGTCCTTTCGTTTGCGACTGGTCGAGAGGGAAGTCAAGAAAAACACAATTAAAAACTATTTTGTATTTGTCTACATTTGTATTTAATTTAAACAACGATTTTTGTCACAAAAAAATCCCCTGTTCTTCTTTTAAATAAATAAGGCGCGAAATGATATCACGCTTTCAAAAAATACATTGCACTATTTACAAAACTATGTACCAAAAAACTAAAATATTTACAGATAGAGACTTGAGCTTACTCGTTTACAATCGAGCCAGAGGCCTTATGACGAATTCTTCTTTACGTCTATAAAATTTATAAACAATAATAAAAAAATGGCACTTATTGTCTTGATTTTGTTATTTTAAATAGTTTTATAAAGAAAATTATAGAAAATAGGATATATTTAATTCACTAAGAATCGTTTTTGAGAATGGAAAGTAGCGGCGCTTGTTTTATTTTATTTTATTTTATTGTATTTTTTGTTCAACACGAGAGAGGGCGGATCCGTTTTGACAAACCGTCTATCACAACTTTTCGCGGATTTATTGAGCACAAAATCACACAAAGTGGTCGTACAAATAAATAAAACGTCCGGTGGAAAAGAGCCGGAGCGTCAGGTTTTGACGCACGTGAGATCCAGAGGTGTTTTCCTGTCGGACTGCGTCGATTCCTCGTCCTTCCTGAGCCTTAGGTCCATCGGGCTGTCCTGGACTGGGCCGAGGCTCCTGAGGATGTCGAGGGAGGAGGCGGGTGCCGGCGGCTGAGGAGGCGTGGGCGGCGGAGGCGGAGGGAGCAGCAGACCCCGGGGTAGGAAAAACGGAGGGATCGGAGGTGGAAAACCGAAGATAGGTCCACCTGAAAACAATAACATGACAGGTACCGTTGGCATTTAACGACATTCTCGGACTTTACCAGGGATCGGCAGTCTCCAGACGGGCGGTTCTTTCTTGACGTTGTTGTTGTCCTCGTCCCATTTGGGGGGCGTCGGAGCACCCCCGGAACCACCCTGCTCCTGGAGGAGGCAGTGGATCTTGAACCAATTGGACCTCCTTCCGTACCTGGAGCCGCTCTTTGACATCCCGACGAGCAGGCATTTCCGCAGTCTGCAAGCCTTGCACGACGTCCTGTTCTTCTTGTTGATCACACATTCCCCGTTGTTCTTGCACTCCGAAATCGAGCTCAGGTTGTTGTACGTCCTTCCAAAGAAACTCTGGAAAAACCAAACATAATAAATTTAATCTTATCTTTAATAATTGTTTCTGTTCTTTTAGCTTGCTTGAAACCTAGTTCTACGACTATACTGGGTGCCACGGAACGAAGGAATTCTAGGTAATGAAAAAGCAGACAAACTGGCCAGCCTGATCGATTAAATCGTCTGCCTTTAAAGGGAATCTCATGAATACTTAAGAAACACGGATACAGCGTGCTTAACAAGTGCCATTTTTAGAATGGACTTTTCAACTTGATAAAGTTGAAAGGGATCCTGTCGAGAATTACGATTGCCGTACGGCGTTACGGACCCAATGAAAAACCGGGTGCAGTTTGAATGGGAGCCAATAGCAGTTTGCAATAAATCCGGTGCATCCTTGGCAATAAAGCTCTGCCCTTTTCTAGCTTTACTGTTATAGCTCTTGATTTCCTAATCAAGCCATTACCCGGTTTGAAAATGTGCCAAATAGCCGGGCGCGTTTTTTTTTTGTTTTTTAATATTATTTTTAATGACGCTCGGACGTCGACAGTGGTTCAACACAATAAATGGTGTGATAAACCATTTGAAAAATCGTGTAAAACCTACGTACAAAGTTTTACTGTTCTTTATCTATTATGTAGTGCTTCAAACTTTGATATGACTCAATTTGAATATAAATTGCGAGAACAAGTCCTCTTTAAAGTTAAGTTCAAGCACTATCGTATGAAACTCAGCAAAAAAAAATTCTAAGAATTGTATTGTAATTTTTATTTAGCTTTTTCCGTCAAATTAACCCTTTTTTGCACCAGGTTAACCATTTTTAATTTTAATTTAACCTTCTTTTAATTTTAAATTATAAATTAACGTTTTCTTTAATTAATTAAGGTTTTTAGTTGAGATAAAAAAGTCAACGGCATGAGCGGGATTCGAACCCACGATCTTCGGCTTGATACGCCGCTGCTCTACCACCTGAGCTATCGTAACCTCACGTGAGGTGCAAGCCAAAGATCGTGGGTTCGAATCCTGCTGGTGCCATTGACTTTTTTATCTCAACTAAAAACCTTAATTAATTGTAATGTATTAATTCGTCAAGCGGATCACGAAATTAGTGAATTTAGTTTTCTTTAATTTCAATTAAACTTTTTTAACTTTATATTAACAATTTTAAATATCAAATTAACCTTTCTCTACTTCAAATGAATCTTTTTTAATTTCAAATTAACCTTTTTTAATTTCAAATTAATTGTTTATAATTTTAAATTATCCTTTGTCACTTCAAATAAACCTTTTTTAAGTTTAAATTAATTCTTTTTTATTTCAAATTAACTATTTTAACATCAAATTAACCTTTTTTAACTTCAAATTAACCATTTTATTTCAAATTAACTTTTTAAGTTCAAATTAATCGTTTATAATTTTAAATTAACTTTTGTCACTTCAAATAAACTTTTTTCAGTTCACATTAATTCTCTTTTATTTCAAATTAACTTTTTTATCATCAAATTAACCATTTGTATTACAAATTAACTTTTTAAGTTTAAATTAACCGTTTATAATTTTAAATTAACTTTTTAATTTCAAATTAACCTTTTCTAATTTCAAATTAGTCGTTTATAATTTTAAATTAACTTTTTTCACTTCAAATAAACTTTTTTCACATCAAATTAATCCTTTTTTATTTCAAATTAACTTTTTTAACTTCAAATTAGACTTTTCATTGAATTCAATTAATTATAAACAGTTTTTTGGATATGAAAAATTGGTGTCACAAGCGGAATTCGAGCCCACGACCTTTCTTTAAAGCAATAAAAAAATATAATATGGTTTGAAATATAAGCGTGTAAACTTCCTGTTTATTTTAAAAAGAATATTAGAATTGGGCTCTTAGAAAGCATATGAACAATAATTAAAATGAAAAATGATATATATAAATAAATAATTTCAAAACTAAATATCCTATTTTAAAGAAAACGTTCACAAAATATAAATTACTTTGGCTATTAAAACCAGTATGAAAATTAATAATAATTATATAAAATAAGGGATTTTTGGTTTCAATTTGAGAAATGTAAAAAATGTAGTTTTTAAGTGCCCTATTATTTTATTTTAAAAGAATCTCAAATTAAAGAAAAATATTTTTACCTAATTTTTAATTGTAATGTAATTAATTTTCATTTACGTTTTAGGAGCCCAATTATTTTATATTTGTAAAAAAATTTTAAATTAAAGGAAGAATTGTTTCTTTTGAAAGTTGATTTCATATCATTTGTCATTTTAATTATAATTTATTTTCACATAATATTCCCAAAGCCTCACCCATTTTCTTTTGGTATTCTCAAAACACCCATTTTATATTATTTTCTCGTAATGAAAGAATTGCATTTTATGTGCTTACATCTCATACCATATCGTAGTTTTTTTGTTTTAAGAAAGACTTAATTTTAAATAAATATATTTCATATGATCTTCTAAGAGACCAATTATTTTTATTTAAAAGAAAATCTCTGATGTAAAGGTTTCATGCGATCTCCTAAGGTCTTAATAGTTTAAAAAAGGAATAATTTAAAATTAAAAAGGGAAAATTTCAAACTAAAAATGGTTATTTTGGAGGAAAGAATGTTTATATTGTAAGATCATGCTTATAACTTTTAGTAATTATTTCAATTCTTTTTTGTGAACAAAACCTCTCTAATTTTGGTGAAATCTAGTACCAAATGTTCGTTATGTACGTCTGTCATGTATATTAACACTTGTTATCGTACTAGATTTGGCAGAAATTATTTACATTCGTGAGGGGGGATCACAAAGCTAAAAACGATTTTGTTTATAAATGAATCTCCTCCAATTTAGGTCTATTGTTTAGAAAAGAAGGAAAGCTATTTTTTTTTTTTTTTTTTTTAGGGGCATCCGACAGCTTGGTCATTTTAGCCCCGAGCGCATACGAAATATAACGACACCCATTCAATAGGCATTCACACAAATAAATTCCCTCACACCTGTATACATTGCATTCAATCTATTTAGTAGATGGGGTACTCAATATTCCTCCAGGGACCAGCATACAACAACAAATTAATCTAATTGGGGTCGATGGGGTACTTTTATAATCCACCATCGACCCAAGTCAGGTACACAGCTCGAGGGAAGATGGGGATGCGATTTCACCATCAGCCCCTCCACATTCACTCTAATAAATACACTCACTCATACAAAACACAAAACCTATAAACAATAAAAAAAATCTCCAGTCCTACTAAAAAGTGGAACAGGAGACTCTGAATTGCGCTACAGTGTCCGAGAACCATTCTTAAATCCGGCGGCATGCCTACACGCTCTCTATATGGAGCCAATGCATATATTATGTGGGATACATCGAGCAACCTTTCTCTGTACAAGGGGCACCAAAAGCAAGTGGCTGTGGCTAAGATATTGTACTCAAAAAATATAAAATGTTTGTACATATAATTTTATTTAATAATGCAATATGGTAAGACACTGTCTCAAATTGAACAATTATTTTACTCTGCCTTGGATGAAAATATAAGTAAAAAGAAAAGATTTTATCTTATTTATAACTTAATTATGTCTGTCTAATTCTCATGAAGGCTCATGACGTTATTTTATATAATTTAATTCAAAATCGTGATTTTTTTCTCGATTTTTTCGCTGTTTGAATACATTCATGCTGAGTTATTATGGTGTTGCGGACTCACATAATTATAAAAACGCATAATTTGTTTTATTTTATTTCATTTTTTTTATCCTTATAAACGTGGCGAAACGGTAAGAATCCGAGATGCAAATTAATGCAGAGAGCGAAACGAGACGAGCCTGAGGAATCCGATTGGGGCAGGAGTACTCCCGGAATTTTTTTCCTTTTCCTTTTATTTCCAGTCGCGCCCTGCTTTCCAAAGGCGCGAACGCGATTAATCGAGATAATCCTTTATTTGACACAAGGCCACTATTAATCCGGGTAAACTTGGAAACACCGGGACATTAACGGGCTCTGCTTGTGTCGCATTTTATTATCCTGGCAGGTTCGAAAAAAAAAAAAACGAACGAGGGGAAAAATTTTCTCACAGAATGAAACTCGTCCCATGAGATTCCAATCTTTACTTGTGCTTCTAATAATTTTTCGATCTAGTTTTCTGGTGTACTTTGCCTTCATGAACTTGCAACTTGACATCTTAGACGCTCTGTGTTGAAAACCTTCCAACTCAAACATCGTCTATAGTTCAATCCTGCAAATGATTTTATCGTGTCATTTTTATGCCATAAAATTAACCATAAATGGCAAAAAGGACGGATAATTTGAAAGGTTGTAGGTTGAGTACGGAGTTGGTGTCCGAGTGGATCGAGGTCACGATAGCTCAAGTGGTAGAGCAGCGGCGTATCAAGCCGAAGATCGTGGGTTCGAATCCCGCTCGTGCCATTGACTTTTTTATCTCAACTAAAAACCTTAATTAATTGTAAGATATTAATTGGTCAAGCGGACCACGAAATTAGTGAACTTAATTAGAAAGTACAGAATCTGATAAAAAATAAACCCATATGAAAATTAAAATCCATTCAGTATTTAAAGTAAACTAAAAAATGGTGTTTGAAAAACGATCGCTACCCCAATAATGTTATATATATTTTATGTTTTATTAGGAGAGAGGTATTTTGTAAGGTTTTTCCTGAAACGAAAAGATAATTTTCTTATTGTAATACGTGTGGTGATTGGTGACCATTAATCGATATTTATTTAGAAATCGTGAGATGCGGTCTGGTGTCTAAAACATTTTCTTTATCGTGCCAACGTTTCGATCTTTATTGAGCCCTGAAGATGATCTCAATAAAGATCGAAACGTTGGCACGATAAAGAAAATGTTTTTCTGAAACCTACATCACACCAGACCGCATCTCACGATTTCTAAATAATTATTGTAAAACGTTACAGAAGCCCTCAGGACGTGGCTATGAGGTGGGACCCGATCGGGTACCCGTCCCATCTGTTCTATCCCTTTTTGGATTATTCGCCTTTTGGAATTTCTTTTTCCGATACGGCCCAGGGAGATAGGGTCGTTTAGGCCCAAATCCGTCGTCAATCGTGGCACGTGCGGATGGACGATCCTTGTCCGGGACACGCGTTTCGTTTTTTACGGTCCGGGCTTCCTCGTCGGCTGTTATCTAAACGGCCGGACCGGTTCTACTCGGCCCGGGAAAAAAAAACACTCGAAATTGACAAACTGTTCGACTTACTTTGCATCCTTCGCAGGTAAACGCGCCGAAGTGGAATCCAGCCGCTGGTTCGCCACAGACCCGGCAGAGCTGGTTCATCTGGAAAACAATCAGGTTTGGTTCATATTGTGTAATAAAAAAATGAAAACTAAAACACAAATTTATCGGGATAAAGTATAAACTAAAAGTCAAGTCTGGGGCTCATCACTGTAAAGGTTCGAAAATCAACGGACCCGAATTCCAACCCAACAAACTTATAAATGGGGGGGTTCAAAATCACCGGAATCTTTGGGATTGATGTGACTTCGTATTCAGGATCAGGAAACACGCAGTCGATCAAGAAAACCCCGTTAAAATACATAAGTAAGGGAAAATATTATTCCCTCCACCACGCGTTTGGGCAACACTGTAGGCAAACCTGACTCTTGGAAATGAAAGGGCCGTGATGGCCTAGTGTTTCGAATCCTCTTCCTTTAACATCTTATTATTTTTCTTGTTTGGTTATACGTTCAGTCTATATTAAAGGAGTAAAGATTGTGCCTGTGGATTTTTTTATTTTTTAATCTTGGTGTCAATTAAAAAGAAAACTATATTACGTCCATTTTGTACGCCACGATGTGCTATTGAAATGTATGGAAATTCACAGTTTTGTAATGAAAAATAGAAATGCAGAGTAAATTAAGGGAAATTTTTTCTCTCTAAAATTTTGGGTAACACTGGAAACAAAACTGACAAGTTGAAATAAGGAGGATCACGGTGGCCTAATGTTTCGATTTCTTGCCATCGTCAATGGTGTAGTGAATTTAGTTTAGTTTTATGCACTGTCATTTTGAAGGAGGAAGTTTGTTTGTGTTTATCTGTTGCTATCAGTGAAAAGGAATATTACAGTTTTTCAATAATTACAAATTTAAAAGTGGCGGCGGTGGCCTAGTGTTTCCAATCCTCTCCATCTTCATTGGTTGTTTTTTTTTCTCTCATGCTTTATGAAAGAAGAAAATACTGTATGTTTATCTCTTTTTAGTCTTTTAGATAATTATAAAATGAAAAATATTATAACATTATATTTTCTCGATTTTTTTTATCTCTTGAATACGTCAATTTGGTTCGCCATTATAATACATTCACAGTTTTGTAGTGAAAAATAGCAATGTAGGGAAAATTAAGTGACATTTTTCCTCCCCGATTCTAGTTTGGCAACACTGTAGTTTACACTGATTCCAGGAATTAAAAGACCCGCGGTGGCCTAGTGTTTCGGTTTTTCGCCATCAATACTGTTGAGATTCTTTTTAATTACAACCAATATGTTATGTCTTATGGAAAGGAAAATAAATTGTGCCCGATCAGACATGCTTTTTGACCGCTTCCCATAAAACAACACTGAATTTTGTTGCCATACTTGTCCAATTTCAACAATGATGCCAGCCCATAGGACAGAGGATGGTGATGCCGTTTGGAAGAATTTAAACCATGAAAATAATAGGCCTTATTGTACACAGATGGATCAAAACATAAACATAGGGGAAAGAATTAAAGACAGAAATTTTGGCCTAAGAAACCTCTAGGTTAAACTAGGTCCGAGCTGGGATCCATGCAATAGAACTGTGCACAAAAAAAAAAATAAAGTTAATATCAAAGTCAGTACTTATTTATTGATTATTTATATTATGAAAACATCTTTTAGTGTAAAAACAACATGAGTTATTTCGAGGAAGTTTATGTGTAATAATTTTGGGGTGGTAACATTTCTTCGGGTGTGGACGACAAAACGACACGCGTTACTCTCCAAAATCAAATGTGGGCGCCTTCTTCATTTCCAGTTTTGTTTATATTTATCCCTGGTTTCATTTTTAAGACAGAATGGCAGGGGCAATTAATAAAAGGTGTTGCGCGTGGGTGATGACAATGTGCCCACACTGCCCGCCCTTCTTTAGTCTTAGTCTTAGTCACACGATTCCCACGATCGGCTTCCCACGGGGCCCTTGGTAAAAGACGAAAGAGTGTAAACACGTACGAGGTGGGAAATCGATTTTTCGGCCCTTTTCCCGGCACATCTTCGAATATCTGTCAAGTCGGGTGATGCTCAAACAGGGTTTCTCCAAATTTAAAAAAAAAATGAAAAAGTTCTCAAAGATACCCGTAAAAGACTCAGGTAAAAAGACAACAGTTTACAAATTACAAAATTGCCAATTAATCATCCAAATAGTTGGAATCAGTATTTCCAATTATTGCATGTATCAACCACTGTACTTCTCGCAAAAATAGTTACGACTCTTCATACTATTTGCAATGTAAAATATAAAAAAATTTCACAAGGGGTTGTCTTGTATTGAGAGTACACATTTCACCTAAGAAAAAACCGACAAACAACAGTGAAGAAGGTCTTACTTAATGATCTGACTGTGCTTGACAAGAAAGATAATATTATCTAAGTACCACAGTAAAGTTACATTAGCAAGATAAGGGGGTAAAAACATATTGTACTTCCTTTTATTATTAATTTTTTCTCTTTCTCTCTCTCACTCTCTCTCTCTCTCTCTCTCTCTCTCCCTCTCTCTCTCATTTACCTATATTTTCCTCCATATTGATTATCTAATATATGATATCTAACCTTTGCATTTCTCTCTCGAACTTCATATCTGTCTACCTATGTGTAGCAAAATCTTGCTTTTATTTGCCTGTACGTCTAATATCTCGCTCATGTCCTCTTTTTCTATAGCAATCTATAGTTATATTTGTATTTAACTATGCACCTATTCATTCTGTCTTTCTACCATGTATTTCTCTCTCTCTCTCTCTCTCTCTCTCTCTCTATATATATATATATATATATATATATATACCTCTATCTACCTCTATCTCTCTCTCTCCCTCTACTCGATCTTTTTTCTTACCTACCTGCCTGTTTATTTAGCTCGATCTTAAATCTATCGGTTTCTCTGTCTGCCAGTTTCTTATTTTTTGCTTTTCTCTCTCTCCCTCTCCCTCCCACTCCCTCTCTCTTTCTCACTCTCCTTTTCTTTCTTTCTCGATATATATCTCTCTCTCTTTCTTTCTCTCTCTCTCTCTCTCTCTCTCTCTCTCTCTCTCTCTCTCACTCACACACACTCTCTCTTTCTCTCTTATAACTGTTCGTCCTTAAGAAATAATAATTATGAGCATCAGATTATTTTTTCCGTTTGCCGTCTCAGTTTTTTTTGTTATAGTTTTTATTGTTTATGTTTTTCTTTTTTTATTGTTATTCATTGATTTCTTACATAGATAAATACATATTGTAATAAATTTATGAACAAAAAATTGTTAGTGGATGCCGCTTATAAAACTCACTTTGGGACCAGCAAAAAGTGAGTCTTATAAGGGGAAGGACCTTACAAGCGAAGGAAACAAGATTTTAGAATGTATGTTATTTTTCCTGTCAATACAGCGTGTCATTCACCTATAAAATAAAGGTAAGTCTTCAAATACGTAAAAACGTAATCAGTTCAAAATTTAAGATGATTTAAAATGATTTGTTACTTTTGTTTATTTCTTGTTATTTTCCATCATTTCGATAATATACTTCTCATAATCGTAGTGCTTTTGAAAATTGGTCCCGTGGTGCTGGACAGCTCTCCTCAACACCCTTAGAGCCCTTAGAGGTTCTGAGTTTGAAGGTGGAAGTTCGACTTCATCGGTATTTTCCTCATCGACATCGTCATCGTTCCTAGCATCCGATGTGCTGTTAGCTTCGTTCATGACGGACTGGCAGATTTGATCCTCAGAAGACGCTTCAGGGGATTGAAGATTGTGATCAATATCCATCCAATTCTCGTAGTTCCTCACAGTAAGGTATTCTGGCGTCCTAATAGGGCAACTATCCTCTCCTTCTCCAGCTTTTCATCGGTTTTGACAAAACCCCGTGCCAAAAGTTGTTTCGAATGGTCACACGCTGCGTTGGCCAGGTGAAAAACCTCGCGAATGTGATTTTCTTGGCGAGTCGTTAGCCTCCAAAGTCGAATTTGATGATGAAGTCTTCTGAGATTCCAAGGTTTCGTCAAAAAAGAGCGGTAAGGTTTTTCTCATTTTTGACCGGCTTTAAAGGTTCGAATGATGCGGAATGGTGGTAAAACTGAGACTAAAAAACTTCGGATATAAGAAGTGGTGAGTCTTATAACCGAGTTTTTTTCAATGTATTCGGATACGTCCGGACTGGTTTCTGGCGATTCTGAGTCTTATAGGCGGACCGAACCTTTTATCCGTGAGTCTTATAAGCGGCGTCCACTGTATTATGAAATATTTAATTAAAAAATATGTAAAAATTTAATGTACAACTCAAGTTTAATCAATCGATTAATCTCTCTTTCCTCCTATATATCTACCTTTCATGTTATTTCTTTGTGTTTCTCTGCCTTTCTGTCCGACTATCTACCACTTTCCTGTCTCTCTCTCTCTCTCTCTCTCTCTCTCTCCCTCTCTCTCTCATACTCTCACACTCTCTCTTTCTTCCTTTCCTTCCCTCTACTCGATCTTTTTTCTAACCTACGTCTGTTTATTTAGCTCGATCTTAAATTTATCGGTTTCTCTATACCTGATCTTTTTGTCTGTCTGCCAGTTTCTTATTCTTTGCTTTTTTCTGTCTCTCTTTCTCACTCCCCTTTCTTTCTCTCTCTCGCGCTCTCTCTCGCTCTCTCTCTCCCTCTCTTTCTCTCTCTCACCCTCTCTCTCTCGCTCTCTCTCTCTCTCTCCCTCCCTCTCCGTCTCTCTTTCTCACTCCCCCTTTCTCTCTCTCTCTCTCTCTCTCTCTCTCTCTCTCTCTCTCTCTCTCTCTCTCTCTCTCTCTCTCTCTCTCTGATAACTAACTGTTCGTACTGAAGAAATAATAATTATGAGCGTAAAATTATTTTTTCCGTTTGCCGTCTCTGCTCATTTGAATAGGAATTTTTCCTCCTTCTACTTCTAATGTAGATTCGTCGATCGCGTCTCAACATCACGCTTTTCCATTTGGGCGAATTATTGGTGAAGCTTCTCGCCAAGGACGAACAGCCAATAGAAAAAGGCGGACCGAGAAAATATTGCCGATAATTCTTTGTTAATTATATCCTTTATTACTTCTTAATCTCCAT